TACAACAACAACAAAATGCCAAGTAGGCCAACATATCAAATGCCTTTTTTGTTTCATTTTTCATCAGAAAAGTTAGCAGTGATAGCACAGCTACCAGTGATAATAGAAAAGTTGGCAGGGCCTGATGAAATTCATCATAGACTACTTACGGGGCTGACTGAAGAGGATTCTGAGCCATTAACAATTATCTCTGAGAGCTTGTGGTGGACAGGAATAATGCCTGAGTTCTGGAAAAAGGGCAAATATAGTGCCTGTTTTATAAAAGGGGGACTAAAGATAGCTAGGGAATTATAGACTAGACAGATTAACTTTGGCATCCAGAAAGTTAACAGAGCAAATAGTCAACAATTTGTATGCACCGTATAGGAAATATCATATGTGGCAGTTAATATGGATTTGCCAAGAAGAAATCATATCAAGCTAACCCAATATCCTTGTTGATGGGATAACTAGCCTTGTGGATGAAGGGGAAGTAGTATATGTGATATATCTTGATTTTAGTAAGGCTTTTGGTATGGTCTCATGTGACCTACTCATAAGTTAGAGAAATATAGCAAAGGCACAACTGGTTGGAAAAGCTTCGTGGTTCACAATCAAGTTTGAAGAGCATATTGAGTGCAGTCCTGCAGAGATCTCTCCTGAATCTGGTTCTATTCAATATCATCTTAAATGATTTGGTTAATGATATGGAGAGTACACTTATGAAATTGGTAGATGACCCAAAGTTGGGAGAGATTGCAAGCATTCTGGAGGACAGGACTAGGGAGAAATCGATTGAAGTAAAGAGAATGAAATTCAATAAGGACATATGTAAAGTACTACAGCTGGAAGGAATAATCAGTTGCACAAAGTCTACATGGGAAATGACTTCTTAAGGAGGAATACTGCAGAGAAGGATCTGGATTTATTGTGGATCAAACTAAATATGAGTTAATGGTGTAATACTGTTGTGTAAAAAGCTAGCATCATCCTGGGATGCATTAGCAGCAGTGTTGTTTGCAAGACAAAAAGTTGCAGAAATCAGCTTCATCTCTGCAGACTAACATGGCTACACCTCTGTGTCTTTTTGTTATTTGCATGAAGGTTCCCCAACTGGTTTCTGTGTGTTACCATTTCAGATATCTGATTTGTTTCCATTAATCCTTTGTCTTAAAGCCTGTCCAGTTTGGCCAATGCACATGGCAGAGGGTCATTGCTGGCACTTGATGGCATAGATTGCATTAGTGGATGTGCAGCTGTATGATCCTCTGATGTGGTGACTTATGTGGTTAGATAGTGTGATTATGTCACTTTGTAGATGTGTGGACAGAGTTGGCACTGGAGTTTATTGCAGGAGTATGATAGAGGTGTGCTGTGTGGTTGCTGGAAAGAGTTTGTTACAAGTTAGGGGGTTATCTTCAGGCAAAGAGTGACCTGTCCCCCAAGGCCTGTGAGAGTGAGGGGTTGGTTTCCAGGATAGGTTGTAGATTGTTAATGATGTGCAGGGAGGGTTTAAGTTGCGGGCTACAGTGATGACTAGTGGTCTATTTTGTTTGTTGGTCCTATCTTGAAGAAGCTGATGCCTGGGTACTCGTCTGGCTCTGTCAATCTGTTTTTTCACTTTCCCGGGTGGGTATTTAAGTTTTAAGAATGCCTGAGAAAGATCCTGTTGGTGTTTGTCTCTATTTGTGGGATTAGAGCAAATCTGGTTGTATTTTAGGACTTGTCTGTAAACAATTGATTGGGTAATGTGTCTTAGATGGAAGCTAGAGACATGTAGGTAAGTATAATGTTCAGTAAGTTTCCAGTATATGGTGGAAATGTGGCCATCATTTAATTGTACTGTAGTGTCAAGGAAGTGGATCTCTTGTGTGGACTGGTCCAGGCTAAGGCTGATGGTGGGCTGGAAGTTGTTGAAAACTCTATGGAATTCTTGGTATCCTTTCCATGGGTCCATATGATGAAGATGTAGTCAATATAGTGTAAGTAGAGTCAGGGTGCTAGGGCCCAGACCTGTGCCGCTATCTTGGAAAACAATCCCTCATTCTCACAGGCCTCAGGGGACAGGCTAATCCTCACTTACACACAACCCCCTAACTAGAAACAAATTCTTTCAAGCAACCACACAGCACACCTTCATCATACTCACCAAGGAACCTAGTCCTGCAATAAACTCCATTGCCAACTCTGCCACACATCTACACAAGTGACATCATCACAGGACCTAACCACATAAGCCATCACATCAGAGGCTCATACAGCTGCACATTAACTAATGTGATCTATGCCATCAAGTGCCAGCAATGCCCTTCTGCTATGTGCATTGGCCAAACTGGATAGTCTTTACGGCAAAGGATAAATGGACACTGTCATGGGGGTGCCCTAATGCCCAGGGCACCCTTCATTGCTCCCAACACATGGACAAGCCTCTACTTTGCTATTTACAGCCCCTTGGGCCTTGTCACAAGCTGAGTGCTCCCCTATTGGGGTAATTATGGCCCCTCAGGCTTAGTCACAGATACAGCCTCACTCCCTCAGGGTGAAAACAGGCTTATGGCCTAGTCCCAGGTAAGCTTCCTCTAAATTTAGGTAGCTGGTTTATGATGGGATGGGGAGGTAGGGGACCCCGGGCCCTCCCACTCCACCGGGTCTCAGCTCAGGGCCTGTTTTCACTGCCTGCTCGGCGGGGATGCCTGCTGGAACACACCGAGCTCCTGGAGGCCAACCCTCCACTGTGGGCCACTTCCTACCCCACTGGTGCACTGCACTGTCCTCTGCGTATGGCTCCGGTGGTCACTCCCAGTCTGAGGACTCCCTTGCCCAGCATAGTCACTGCGTAGTCACTGCAGCTGCTGCGGTACCTGATGATTCTGCGAAGGCGTCGGCGGCTGTGGCTGTGACTGCTGCAGCGTCTGGTACGGCTCCGGCAGCGGCTGCGTCTGTAGCTGTGGTTGCTGCGGCATCTAGTGTGGCTTCGGGGGCTGGTGCTGCTCTGTGGGCGGCTGTTCCTGTAGCTGCAGCTGCTGCGGTGGCTAGGACTGCTGCCCTGTGGGCTCCTTCCCCTCCCAAGGTCTGCTTCTTCTGCCCTGAGTAGCCCTCTTTTATACCCAAGCAGCGGGAGCATGCCCTGTAGGTTACATGGGGTGTGGCCTCCCTGGCCCTCAGAGTAGATTCTACCACTTCTGGCCTAGTGCGGGGAAACCTACCCCGTCACAGACACAAATCAGATATTCAAAATGGTAACACACAGAAACCTGTTGGCGAACATTTTAACGTGCCTGGACACTCACTAATGGATCTAAAAGTGACTCTCCTGTAATAAAGCAATTTCAAAAAACAGATGAAAAGAGAAACTGTGGAACTTACCTTCATCTGAAAATTTGATACCTTTAATCAAGGTCTGAACAAAGACCTTTTTTGGATGGGGTGCTACATTGAACATACTAATGACATCAAAAATTAAGTTTTGGGCATTTACAGCCCACGCAATTAGCCTTATTTAGCCCAGACACTCTAATTGACAATTTTTTCCCTTCCCTTTCCCTCCGCATCCTCTATTTTTGTGTTATTTTTTGCAACTCTGGACCCCTTGCTCCATTCATCTGAAGAAGTTGGTTGTGCCCACAAAAGCTCATGATACCATCCACATTTTTGTTAGTCTCTAAGATGCTGGTTTTCATTGTTTTTTAAGTTTTCCTACTGTCCCCGGCACTCATAATGTGTCTTCTGAGTACTGTCTTCAGCTCTGGGCACCAAACTTAGAAAAAGATCTGCTCAAATTGGAGAAAGTCCAGAGGAGAGAAATACAAATTATAAAAGGTGTAGAAAACATGACCAATAAGGAAAGAACGAAAAAAAGGTTTGTTTAGTCTGAAGGAGAGAAGACCGAAGCAGGACATAAACAAGTATGTAAAAGGTTGCTATAAAGAGGATGGTGATAAAGTGTTCTCCTTAACCACTAAGTACAGGACAAGAATTAATTAGCTTAAATTGGAGCAAGAGATATTTAGGTTGAAGATTAGTAAGAATCCTACTTTTCCACTACAAGCCCCACCCCCTTCCCCCAAATTCTCTGATTTTAAAAAAAACATACAAATCTGTGGTTTTCTGTGATTCAAGTGAAAGGATGAGCTTTAATTTACCTAGCCCCAATACATAGTGTAACCCCATTTAGCTAATCTACTTGAGACTGGAACAGATTGGATAATCTAAAATTGAGATAATCAAGGGAATGGACAAATAGCTTCAGTCCCTTTCAGCCCAGCTGAGGCTTCAGTTGAAGCTGGAGCACCACCGCACTGGACTGACAGCCCATACCCCACTGCTTGGGTCTCAGGCTGTCTCAGTTCAGTAAATATAGAATGCCAGATAATGAAGGCCAGGGTAAATGGTATTCTACTGTATATGTTTTTTAAATGAAATGTAAAAACTAATGATTCTCTGTAAAAATGCATATTCCTCATTTTTTCTGTTTTTTTTTTTCATGGCAAATGGATTTCTTGGATCCCAGAAATTAGGAAAAACTTCCTAATTGTAAGGGTAGGTGATCACTGGAGCAGATTATCTAGGAAGGTTGTGGAAACTCTCAAACTGGAAGTTTTTAAGAACAGGTTAGACAAACAGCTATTAGCTATCTAGATAAATATTTAACCCTGCCTCAAGTGCAGGGACTGGACTAGATGATCGGTTGAGATCCCTTCCAGTCCTACATTTCTGTTATTCCTTGTACAGCAATGGGCAAATTACTTAATTTGTCTGTGTTTCAGTTCTCCCATTTCTGATGGGTAATGCTCCTTCCTACCATCTCTTATCTGACTGGCGTGTTTAGATAATTCTTGCCCCAAAGAGCTTACAATATCTCTCTTCTTAGCACAAAGAAACTCTGATTACACTTGGGACCACTGTAATATAAATATGTTGTTGATTAGTTGCAGCACCTTTCTTTTTATGTAAAGTAAAAACAGTTCAGTATTGTAGCTATAAAACAAGGATTAATAGCACATGTTTTCATTTGCCTGTAGGTTGAAGAAAAAGTCCCAATCTGTAGATGTTACTGCACCAGGACACAACCTTCCAGCACCAGAAGCACAAGAGATTCCACAAGCCAGTAAATTGATACCTGTCATTAAGACAGCTGCTTTTGAAGAGGAGCAAAACACCACAAATACACAAAGGCGCAACCCACGGAGAAGTGAACTGAGGAGATACTACACCATTGGTGAGCCATCACATTCAGTTCATATGTTTCAACTAGTATGTGGAGGGGCACCCCCACATTGCTGGCCATTTAATTGGGTTTTCTTTAGCTGGATGGAACAGTGTTGCTGATTTCCTTATGGCTTACTGTCTTATTTGTTGAAGTTTTCTTTTGCAGAGTAATTCATTGTTGTTAATGTGACTTTCCAAGAAGGAAAGCATTCCGCTTGTTTTTATTACTTTTATTGTTTTGGCTTTGTTAGGCTAAAGACTCAAGTTTTAAAAATGTCAAACAGGAGATTTCATAATTATAGCTTACAGGCACTATAAGGTATCAAGAGTAAATTTGACTTTTTAATAAATGTATCTAGGGTTGTTTCTACACATTCCTTCTTCCAGCATTTATTTCTGATTTTACTTTTTCAAAACCTCACTCTTCAACTCTTTCAGGCTACACTTTTTCAAAACTTCACTGGCATTCAATTCTTTCAGGGTAAGCTGTTTAACTTCAGTATCACCTCAGATTGCAACACTTCTCTTAAGGATTTGTTGTGGTCTGAAGTACTTTAGGTGAAATCTGGGTAAAGTTTTGTATGCACAAGTGAAGTAGGTGATGGCTAGTGAGTAAGTACATTCTCCACTCCCAACCTGAGGTCGGGATGGAAGGCAGACATAGAGACTGGCGTCCTTTTACCATCAGTCTTTTTGAGATGGTGGAAATCATGAAGTGGAAGTGTGTGCTTTCAGAACTATGGGGATCCCACCCAGGCTCCCTTAGCTACCCGCACACTTCTCCTCAAACAAGAGAAATTCATCCTTGTGTAGAAGGCTGAGAGTATTTCACCCAACATTAAGATCATTGACTGCATGGAACTCACACAAGCCAGGTCTACACTTAGAGAAAATGTTGATGTAAGATACACATCTCCCGCTATGAGAATAGCTTAGCTAGTGTCGATGTACCTTAAGTTGAATTTCCACAGCATTTCAATTGCAGGAGGTTGATGGGAGAAACTCCCGTGTTCACTTCGCTTACTCCTTGTGACTCTATGAAGTACTAGGGATCACAGGGGTGCCATCAATGGGCAATGTAGCAGGTCTTTACTAGACCTGCTAAATTGAACCTTGGAAGTTCGGTCTCTGGAGCATCGACTTCATGGTAAGTGTAGACCCAGGCACTTTTGAGGGCTGGAGAATAGGGAGTTAGCCATGGAATTCAAATTGCTGTGTTTCCACCTACTGTACTCTCTATACATTCTTGCTATCTTTCAATGCCCTTTTCTTTTAAAATGAAGATCTTGATTATTGTTTACCCTTACAGTTATCAATAGATTTGATGAACCAAACATATTAGACTTATTTTAAAGTGAACTATTTGAAACTTGGTGCTGAGGGGGAAAAAAGACGTAAGGGTATATTTTGAAGTTCTTTGGTCATGATATTGTTGCAATGGGAATCATTGCTGTGAATTGGTGACTTTTCTTTAGCATTCAGAAGAAAAAGAAAATTAACAGCAAGGGAGCTTTAGCTTATAAAAGATCTTGTTTCAAAAAGAGGGAGGAATAAAGAAGACAGTATAAACAATTTGGTTTAGTTAAAACCAGAAAACACATAATTGCACATTCACTTACACTTATTAAGTCTGTAGGCAGCATCCTGCAGCTGCATCATAGCTCTTTCTAGCCAGTAAGCTAGTAGATCTCAGGGGGATATATCACTTATTATGTGACAACCTGCCATAAATCTTTACAGATATTCTGGAAATAGAGAATTAAGTGATAACTGTAAGTTTCTTTCAGAATATCTAAACACTTAACAGCTCCCTAATGTAAAATAAAACACATGCAGGCCTAGTTTTGTAGCCTGTTTCATGTATTTCAGTGCTTGCTTTGAAGTTTCTGCAAGCTGCTTGTGAGAGTAGTTGACAGGAGGAGGGGAGAATAACTTAAGGCTCATGATGATCTGAAAGAAATAGTAAACAGTTTGGAAACAAGAGCAAGTGAGTGTCTGTGGTAGGGTGGGGAGAGAAAGCATCCTATGCTCTGCTGGTGATCACAAAGTTGTGCAAACAAAAACTTCTAATGCAGTGATGGGCAACCTAGGCTGGCCCTCCTTCATCCCAATGAGCTGCAAGATTTTTGTCACCAAGACAGTCTTCCAGGATAAGGTAACTTTTTCTACTGTGCTTATTCAGAATTTGCGGCGCGCCGATTGAACTGTAGCAGCACTTCGGATGTAGAGGGACCTTACAGCTCTAATAGTCAATATTATGTGCAATCAGTACACACCTTGCTTCATGAGGTACAAGAAGTGTCCTATATTTGTGCTTCAGTTGTGTTGCCGAACGCTTAGTGTCTAGCACAGTGAGGGCTTGGTACCTGATCAGGGCTGTTAGATGCTAACATAAATAATAAATCACTAGGCATGTTGTCAGTGGCTTTAATGGGAACAGGATTGGATCCCAGGAGGGAGAGTTCTGAGAAACTTAATGCATAAACATTCTGATGAAAATCTGATGCTTGCCAAAACAACTGAAAATTGTGCAGTGTAGCCACACAGCAGCTGCAAAGGGGAACAGGATGGCATCTCACTCGCAGTAGCATGGCTGATGGACGGTGCAGAGAGTAGCTCAGAAGACAAACACAGTGCAGTCCTCTCTTCTCTGCTTGAATTCAGCAGCCTCTTCTGAAACTGGAAGTTGGTTCCACTTCGCGCCCCATGATTCCAGCAGAGCACTAACTTTCTGGCATAGCTTCCTCTCAGTAGTAATAACAGAAATGTAGGTAGCTTGTTGCCAAGGCTAGAATGAATAAGTAACATGATACTGCCAGCAGGGAATGAGATGTCAACACTTGATAAAGCAAAAAAGACCACTAATTTGTAGTCAGTCTCCAGGGGCGGACTGGCAATCAAAATAGGCCCGGGAAATGGGTTAAGGACGGACCACTTTTTCACATCAAAGAATTTTTTAAAAATTTACTCTTTGACCCCCATTAGCCACACCTCTGACCCCTGTTAACCACACCCTTGACTCCCATTAGCCAGGCCTCTGGAGGTAACACTCTCGGGACAGGATGGACACTTGACCAGAAGTAAAAGGTGTCATGTGACCCCTCTCTAAGGACTTTTCCCACCATCCTCCTACCAATAGGGATTAGTTTAGCCCCCACCAAAACCCCCTCATGCAACTATCCTGCAATTGCATTAACCCAATGTGTGTGACATTAACTCGGGGGCAGAGGGGGGAGAGAGGCTGTGGGAAGTGTTCCCTCTAAGAGTTTCCTCCCATGAGCAGAATGAATTTTGTGTTGTGCACCAGTACTGAGTTCATGGGGCTTGTCTGGATGTGCCACTGTGGCACCTGAGTTATTAATAAATATTTTATAAACCTCTACCTTTTCCCTCTGCTGCCATGTCTCCTCCCCTTACTCCATCAGCTCCTCTGGTGCCTACTGCCCCCCAACTCCTCACCCTCCTCTGCTGTCCTGATTCCTACCCTTCTCTCTGCCCTCAGCCCTCCTGCAACTAGCCTCCCTCCACCAGCTCTTCTCTCCCCACTGTATCCACTCCTCCAGTAGCCCCACTCAGATCATGTGAGCTACCCCTCCTAATCCCCTCTCCTAACACCTCCCTCTACACACCTGTCCTGCCTCTCTCCTCTGGTGCTGGCCCCTCCCCTGCAGGTGTCTGCCCTTCTGCTTCACCTCCAGAATCCCCTGGCACCTGCATCTTCCCTTACCTCTGCACCCTCCTGGTGCCCTCCCTTCCCTCATTGTCCCTGCCTCCTTTCCCCTCTTTTTCCCTGATGCCCACCCCCTCACCACCCTCTGCCCCCGTTCCTCTCATGCCTCTGTGCCCTCACACATGACTTGCTCCATCCCCACCTTCCTCATGCCCTCCCCTTCTTTCAAGCCTTCTCCCAGCACCTCCCTCTTCTCCCCTCTAGCTCCCAGTGCTCTTACCCTCTCCTCTCCCTCTCCTCATTGTCTCCACTTGGCCCCCTGGCATTTGTCTCTCCTCCACGCTGTCCCTTTGTGCCTTCCCCTTTCTTCTCCTGCTCTGCCCCCCTCCCCTCAGCACAAGCCCTTTTCTCTCCCACCTCTTCCCCCTATTTTTCCCCTCTTCCTCTCCCCTCCCTCCCACCTTCTGCCTTCCAGTTTGCGGTGCTGGAGTCTGTGATTGGGCCCCAACTGCTTCTGGGGCTCCAGACCACTTGCCGGGCCTGGAGATGGGTCACGTGGTGCAACTCTGGGCCGGGCAGTTTTAAAGTCCCAGGCCATGATGTCACACCACGCCCAGGCGTCTCCCCTCTCAGCTGTTGCGCGGCATTTGAGTACTCCACACATGTGCTCCCTCAGCCCCACTGTGCCCCGTACATAGCTGGCGCCGGGGAATTTAAAGTCCGGGGATGCAGCGCCCCATCACAATCCCCCTCCTCCTTCAGGAACTGCCAGCTGGCCCTTCGGAGGATGGCCCACCGGGAAATTCCCCGTATCCCGCCAGGCCACTCCACCCGTCAGTCTCCTGTTCTCCTGAGTAGGAGTAAATGAGGTTCTCTTTTACCCCAGTTATGAAGCGAAATGTTGAAGTGCATGTATTATTTCATCCTGGCAGAGATACAGACATGGAGATCTGAAAGAATATCCTACTGAATTAGAAGTATAGATAGAGGCATTGAATAATGAATTGAAGCAAGGTTACTTGATAATTAGAACCCTGTGCAGATAAAAAAAATTGTATCCATGTCCACATCTGTTATCCACAAAAATGAGCCATGGTTATCCACATCCACATTCATGGTTGATTTGCAGGGCTCTAATGATGATATTGCAGGCAATCTAAAGTAGCACAATGCATTCAGAGTTGCGTAAAGGGCAACATTTATTATGGAGATGCTACCACCTCTCCCATTTTTATCTGCCTCTTTATAACTTTGAGTTGGAATTTTAGTTCAGCCTGCAGAGTCCCAAATCCTCTAAAAGAAACCATATATTTCTGCAAAGTTAGAAAAAATACTATACT